ACCTTGTTGAGGCGCAGGATGTCGTTGTCGGTCTTGCCGACGCCCGCCTGCCGCACCGGGCCACGCGGGGTGCTGCCGTTGCCGCCCCTTCCGCCTCTGCCTCCTCTACCGCCTCCATTGCCACGGCGCCCAGGGGGGGCGGAACCCTCCCGTCGCTCCACAGGTTGCCGGGCTGCTTGCGCCCACGCGCGCGCAGCTGCCAGGCGCGGCCTCCCGGCTGCCGCCGCCGCCATGTGCTGCTGCGGCGATGGGCGCGGCGGCTGCAGAAACAGGCCGCCCGCCCGGGGGCAGCCCAGCATTGCGTCCATCTCGGTGGGCTGCAGCTGTTGCGCGCAGGCTGCTCTAGCAGGCTGCCGACTGCGGTCGCGGGTGCATGCACGGCGCAGGGGCTTGCAAGAGGCCCAGGTGCCTGCTCTGGGTGGTTTGCATATGCGGCTAAACGCGCATGAGGGCCCATGCATGCGCTGCATTGCGCGTGTACAACAGGCCACACGGCGCAGTACAATTGTGTTTTTGAACTCGCATCGCCGCGTGCACATCACCATTCCCTCCTGCACATCCCTGCCCCTCCCAGCTCCTCACCTCACACCTGCCACCATGCTGTGCACCGCCTCCGCTCGCCTGGTCACCGCCCCCCTGGGCAGGTCAGCGGGGGCTCGCCTGCAGCGCGCAGCCCGCGTGCAGAGGCGTTTGTGATGCTTGCCTGGCCGTCGCCAATGCAGCGGCGTGCCTGCAGCGCCCCAGACCGTTTCTGTGATCACTTGAATGCCATTTAAACTGAGCCCGTGCCCTGCTCAGCCCCGCCTGACCCCGTGTGCCCCTGCCCGATCCACCACTGCTGCTGCAGGACCTCTGCCGTCTCCCGCCGCTCCGTGCGCAGGGGTGAGCACTGCACCTGGATGGCACCGCTGCATCATGCTGCATTGACCTTCCCAGCCCTTCCTGCCTGTGGCTTGACATGTCATCCTGCATATTGCCCGACGGCGATGATCACACCTCGGGCCACCGGCCTGGGTGGCCACGCTGTGCCGCCTCGCTGACGCATCCCGCGCCGCCGCCACTGCCTGCCCCGCAGCTGGCCTCAGGACCGTGGCCGTGGCCTTCCCCACCGACAGCGAGGAGGTCAAGGACCTGCTCAAGGGCAAGACCACTGAGCTGCAGGACAAGGCCACCGAGGTGGTGGAGTGGGCACAGGTGCGGCGCGTGGGGCTGTGCTCCGCCGATTGTCATTGAAACTTGAACTGCTGGCACGGCTGCGCCCAAGTTGCAGCCTGCCCTGCCCCCATCTAAAGCCTGCGCCCTTTGACAGCTGCGTCACACTCGCCCCTCTGCCGTGTCCTGGGCACAGGCCAAGTGGGAGGAGAGCGACAACAAGCCTGGCCTCGTGGCCACTGGCGGCGCCGCCTTCTTCGGCCTCTACCTCATCTCCGGCCTGGTCAACACGTGAGCGCGGATGTGCCTCTGTTTGGCCTAGCACATGTTGCTGGCAGCATGTTGCGACGTTGCTTGCGCTGCACCTAGCTGTATCCCACGGCCCTTCTTGCTGCCCCGTCCCCTTGCAGTGTTGACCGCCTGCCGCTGATCCACACCGGCTTCGAGCTGCTGGGCCTGTCCGTCACCGCCTGGTTCGCCTACAGGTGGGCTGTCAGCGGTTGGCCGAATGCAATGGTGTAGGGCTTGGCTGCCAGATTTGCAGAGTCACATTGCTTGCGGCCCGCGACGCTCACACTTGCATTATGTTGTGGCTGCCACTACCTCGCAGGTGGTTCTTCGTGGCTGGCGAGAAGGAGGCCATCACCAGCAAGGTGACCTCCATCACCAAGGACATTGGCCTGGACCTGTGAGTTGAGCTGCCGCAAAACTCAAAAGAATTGAATCGATGAATGGATGATCCCTTATGTTATTTGCCCCTCAGCTTCATCTCTGTTAGCGGGGTGGGACGCCACGGCTGTACTTGCGTGCCACCCTCCCTTGTGTACCTGCCATAGCGCCGTCATCTGTTTCTCCAGTTAACATTGCTGCTGTTGTATGTCGTGCTTCCCACTTCCTTTGTTTCATGCAATTGCCACAATTGCTTGTTCGATATTCGCCTTGAGGGGACAGCCCGCGTGTGGCTGCCCCGCGACGCGTTTAATAGTAGTTTAGGCTCAAGGCAACAATGTGATAGGTGGTGGGGGCACCGTGGCACGAGGAGGTTGCATCCCGGGGAGGTTCCGTCTTGCCAGCGCCACGCCCGGCCGCCGGGCAGCCGTCCGCCACCAAGATGCCGCCACGAAGGTGCCGTGAGGCAAAGTCCAGTTAGGGGGATGCCAGAGTAAACTCGCGCACTGATTGACTGACTGAGATTACAGAGAACTGGGCGCTTTAAAGGGTCGGGGACACACAAGCCGTGCCCACTAGCTCGCCGCCGCCAGCCCCCGGGCCCCATCCCAGCTTTCCCATCCTACCTACCTTTCCCAGCCGCCGTCCCCCCGGCCCCCGAGGCCCCTGTCCCAGCTTGCTTGTGTGGGCTTAAAGTCTGGTAAAGCAAGAACTAGCTTGCAACATAGACTCCCCGCCGAAACGGGACGGGAACCGGGCGAAAGCAGAGAAAGCAATAAAACAGGGGTGGAGCAAGGCGACATGCAACGCAAGCAGCTGACAGGGCACGCATCGAAACGTGTGTATGACTGGCAAAGTGGCATGGCGCATTGGGGAGAAACGCAACGGTACGGGAGCATGGGCTGGCCAAACGGCAGTGCGGAACGCTAGGTCACTAGAAAAGCAGGGAAAGGCGCACTATGTATGCAATGAGGGCAGCCCCGGCTCGGGGCCGTTGAGAAAGCAGTGGGCGGGAGGGGGGAGGCCCCGGTGTGGGCGGGCCCCATCGAGGGGGGATGGGGCGCGCAAGCGGCCAGATGGGGCGGGGCGCGGGCGGCAGTGGAGTCCTGCGGCTGGGTGGGATATAGGGCAATGAGCGTTGAGCAGTGTGCGATGAGCAATGAGCAATGAGCAGTGAGCAGCCCCTCCCTAAACAAAGTGAAGCGCAGGACGGGGTCCGGTGGATGGGAGGCAAGGAAACGCGGGGGGTTGCCACGTGCGCTACCGCCGCCGCCGCAGGCAGCACCCCTGCGGCGGCGGCAGCGGCAGCAAGCCGTGGACCCAAACGCCGTGCCGCCGCCGCCGCAGGCAGCACCCCTGCGACGGCGGCGGCAGCAAGCCGTGGACCGAAACTCCGTGCCGCCGAGTCCCGTGGCTGTGGCCGTGGGCTTCTGGCAGGAAACTACGGCCGCAGCTCGGCAGCACGGGGGCGTCGCAGCGTGCCGCCGCCGCCGCCGCGCTGCCCCCCCGGGCACGGCGGCGGCGGCAGCAAGCTTGGGCCCAAACGCCGTGCCGCCGAGTCCCGTGGCTGCGACCGTAGACCGTGGGCCGGAAACTGCGGCCGCAGCTCGGCGGCACGTGGTTCTGGTCAAATCGCCAAGCGTGCAGCAGCGCCGAACCACGCTTCCCGGCCTCGGCGCATGCCTTCAGGGGCCCCCTATCGCTGGGCACACCCCTCCAACACCGAACATGCGCCCGGGGGGGAGGGCGGCCCGGGCTGCCCAGGCCAAAGTGGGCCGCCCTCGAGCAAGAGGCGGCCGGGCTGTGTGCTGAATGAATGAATGAATGAATGCTCTACCTAGCTTTCCCATCCTACCTACCTTTCCCAGCTGCCGCCACCGCCAGCCCCCGGGGCCCCATCCCAGCTTTCCCATCCTACCTACCTTTCCCAGCCGCCGACGACGACCCCCCGGCGGCGGGTAGGAAAGGTAGGCAGGATGGGCAAGATAGGACGGGGCTCCCTGCGGAGCGCCGCTCCCTGGGCTGGGACAGCTAGGAAGCCTGGGAGGCTGCCTGCGGTGGGAAGGCTCAGCTAGGATGAGGCCGGACATGGAGGAGGGGTGCCAGCATCCAAGCTAGGCAGCTGGGAACCAAATTTCATGCCTAGCTAGGACTGATGTCCCAGCTTTCCCAGCTCGGATGTCACAGAACAAAAATGTGTTCTAGCTAGGAAGGTAGGAAATTCGACCGCCTCTTGCCCATTCCTGACTAGCTCTGGAAAATATAAGTAAGAAACCAACCAAGGGCCCCAAAATAAGCAAAAATGACGCGTGATCTGTGATGTTACAGAGGCAATGCTCATTAATGGGCTGGGGGCACACAAGCCGTGCCCACTAGCAAAAATGACGCATGTGTGTGTGTGTTACAGGGATTGGGCACATTAATGTGCTGGGGCCGAACCCGCTAACCCTGCCGGCTGTCCAGAGCGAGGAAAATCTGGCCGCCGATGGCATCCCGGGGAGGCTCCGTCTTGCAAGCGCCATGCCGGTCTGCCGGGCAGCCGTCCGCCGCCCAGATGCCGCCACGAAGGTGCCATGAGGCAAATTCCCAGCTAGTGTCCCGGCTGGGGTTCGAACTCGTGCCTGTGGCATCACCCACCGGCACTCATCCAGCTCCTTATTTAACGTCGCGGCCAACGACGAAAAACGCACTGACTGACTGACTGAGATTACAGAGAACCGGGCCCGAAAAACGCGTGTGTGTGTGTGTGTGTGTGTGTGTGTTACAGGGATTGGGCACATTAATGTGCTGGGGCCGAGCCCGCTAACCCTGCCGGCTGTCCAGAGCGAGGAAAATCTGGCCGCCGATGGCATCCCGGGAGGCTCCGTCTTGCAAGCGCCATGCCGGTCTGCCGGGCAGCCGTCCGCCGCCCAGATGCCGCCACGAAGGTGCCGTGAGGCAAAGTCCCAGCTAGTGTTCCGGCTGGGGTTCGAACTCGTGCCTGTGGTATCACCCACCGGCACTCATCCAGCTCCTTATTTAACGTCGCGGCCAACGACGAAACGCGAAAAACGCATCTGATCTGTGATCTGTGATGTTACAGAGGCAATGCCCATTAATGGGCTGGGGCACACAAGCCGTGCCCACTAGCTCTGGACTGTATGAAAGCATGCAACACCGCCCGGGCGGCGAACGGCGGGCTCAGGGAGCGGTCGGGCGCAAAGGGCGGGGAGGGAGGCGAGGGGCGCCTGATGGCCAGCCCAAGGGCGGCAAGCATACCAGCGGGGGGGAGGGGCAGGTCGAGGACCCGCACACCACCACCACCAGAAAGCGGGCCCACCCACCCCGGCACAGTAGCTGGGAGAGCGGCCAGGCGGGCGGGCGGGGGCCGCAAAGGTGAAGGCGGCACGCGGGAAGACCGGGGGAATGTGTGTGTGTGTTACAGGGATTGGGCACATTAATGTGCTGGGGCCGAACCCACTAACCCTGCCGGCTGTCCAGAGCGAGGAAAATCTGGCCGCCGATGGCATCCCGGGGAGGCTCCGTCTTGCAAGCGCCATGCCGGTCTGCCGGGCAGCCGTCCGCCGCCCAGATGCCGCCACGAAGGTGCCGTGAGGCAAAGTCCCAGCTAGTGTCCCGGCTGGGGTTCGAACTCGTGCCTGTGGTATCACCCACCGGCACTCATCCAGCTCCTTATTTAACGTCGCGGCCAACGACGGAATTGTTTTCGAGTTGAGAAAATTTAAGTCGCTCAAATTAAACAAATATTGGAAATGTGTCATTAATCGCACTAGTGGTATAGTGGTAGCATAGGTCCTTGCCACGGACCAGACCGGAGTTCGATTCTCCGCTAGTGCAGACGTTTTGCCAGTCAAAGCAAGGTTGAGTAGAGGGCCAATGTCCCATTCACCCTCCAATTTTAATTTTAAGTGTGCAAATGCGGCCTCTCGCCCGCAGCTGAACCCCTTTCAACCATGCATGCATCCGGCTGCGGCCAGCTGCCAACAGCACGCGGCAGCAATGTCCTCAGGCGCCGCCATGGCGCCGCTGCCCACGTCCCCGCATGCCAGCTTCTTAGTCACGGGCGGCACTACCTGTGTACAAACAAGCGGGATTGTCGGCAGCCTGTGTGCTCATGCATTGAAGTGAAAAGATCGGGAACATCGGCGCTCCGCAGCCGCAACTCACCAGCGCGCCCAGGTCTCGGCAGGCGGCCAGGTGGCGCGCCGTGAAAGGGCTGTCCCACATGAACGTGTTCATGGCGGGCGCCAGCAGCAGCGGCTTGGAAAAGTCCCAAGCCCTGGACACACGTGAGAGGCGGCGTCACAACATTCAGTATGCATACAGTGGCGGCAGGACCCTCACGCACACATCCCGCACCATGTCTCATTTGCAGCCACGGCACACGCGCCTGGGCAACCCACCCACGCACCTGAACACACATGTGACCAGGTTGTCGCATAGCCCATTGGCCACCTTGGCCAGCGTGTTGGCTGCAAGCAAGCAAGGCCGGGAAAATGTACAATAAGGCGGCTCCTTCCAGCCAAACAAAACTGCTTGCCATCACAGCAAAACCTACCCCCCCACCCACCCGAGAGCGGCGCAATGAGGAAGGCGTCGGCCTGCCGCCACTCATCTTCATCGCCTGTCTGTATCTGTTACACCCATAAGGAGCAAATGAATGCTACGGGCCCAGCTGTGGTGCAGTAGCTGGAAAGGTGAAGGCACCATACACAAACGGGGAGAGAGAGAGGCCTGCGCCGGCGGAGACACACACAAAGAGGTGACAGGCGGCGAGAATGGGCATCACCAACGTCATAACGTTGCGCAATGCCAGCCAGCCATCCGTACGCCATGCACGCTGCCCGCCAGCCATGCACATGCGGCGATGCACGGCACCCAGCCCGCCAGCAGCCACCAGGCCTGCCACGCACCCAACAGCGGTCGGCAGGCCGCCGGCAAGTCATGCTGCCAACGAGGAGAGGGGAGAGAAGGGAAAGCAAACCTTCCTTTCCTGGAGCGGCAGCGCGGCAGGGCAGCAGGCATAAGACAGAAGGGGGATGGACATGAGAAAAGGTGCAAGGAGGGAACATTCAAGAAAACATGGGGAAGGCGAAGGCGGTTCCGAAACGATAAGCAAGGGGAGGAGGGGGGGCGGAGCTGAACGCGGCCGCCGGCAGAGAAGAAAAGGGGTGGGCCGAGGCTGCCAAGGAGGCGAACCCCAAGCGCCATGCCGGTATGTTTTCGGCGCAGCCTCCTCTGACTGACTGAGATCACAGAGAACCGGGCCCTTTAAAGGGCTGGGGACACACAAGCCGTGCCCACTAGCTCTGGACAAGATAGGTATGCAATCAACCAACAGACAGGGCGGCGGAGCGCGGGGCTGCGAGGAGCCGATCGGGCAGCAGGGACAGCGGAGGGTGCCTGGGAGCCAGCCCAATGACTGTCAGAGAGTTGCGAGGAGGGGAAACGGGGGGCAAAAGACAGGAGAAAGAGGGGGATCAAGGGCCAGGACCGCCCAGCAAGGCGGCGCAAGCGGCTCAGAGACGCCACCCACCCCGGCACAGAAGCCGGGGGAGCGGCCAGGCGGGCGGGCGGGGACCACACTGGAGAAGGGGGCAGCCAGCTGCCAACGAGGAGAGGGGAGAAAGGGGGATGCCAGAGAATGCACACCGAGCGGCGGCGCGGCAGGCACAGCAGCGCACGAGCAGGCACAGGTGCACAGGCACTGCAACACACTGCCGGCGGGTCCCCGATGGCGTGACTGCGGAAAAGCGCAACCATCTCCACTGGTTCCTAGCACACCTCGCACGGCGCAATAGCCAGCCAAGGGGCACCACAGCCAGGCAGCAGCCGACGGCACCCAACAGGTGGGGACGGCGGTCTGCGCCTGTTGCAGCGGCTGGCTCGCCTCCACCCTGCCCTCGTTGCTGCGGATCGGGCTCGCTAGTGGTATAGTGGTGGCATAGGTCCTTGCCACGGACCAGACCGAAGTTCGATTCTCCGCTAGTGCAGACGTTTTGCCAGTCAAAGCAAGGTTGAGTAGAGGGCCAATGTCCCATTCACCCTCCAATTTTAATTTTAAGTGTGCAAATGCGGCCTCTCGCCCGCAGCTGAACCCCTTTCAACCATGCATGCATCCGGCTGCGGCCAGCTGCCAACGGCACGCGGCAGCAATGTCCTCAGGCGCCGCCATGGCGCCGCTGCCCACGTCCCCGCATGCCAGCTTCTTAGTCACGGGCGGCACTACCTGTGTACAAACAAGCGGGATTGTCGGCAGCCTGTGTGCTCATGCATTGAAGTGAAAAGATCGGGAACATCGGCGCTCCGCAGCCGCAACTCACCAGCGCGCCCAGGTCTCGGCAGGCGGCCAGGTGGCGCGCCGTGAAAGGGCTGTCCCACATGAACGTGTTCATGGCGGGCGCCAGCAGCAGCGGCTTGGAAAAGTCCCAAGCCCTGGACACACGTGAGAGGCGGCGTCACAACATTCAGTATGCATACAGTGGCGGCAGGACCCTCACGCACACATCCCGCACCATGTCTCATTTGCAGCCACGGCACACGCGCCTGGGCAACCCACCCACGCACCTGAACACACATGTGACCAGGTTGTCGCATAGCCCATTGGCCACCTTGGCCAGCGTGTTGGCTGCAGGCAAGGCCAGGCAAAATGTTCAACAAGCCGGCTCAGCCAAACAAAACTGCTTGCCATCACAGCAAAACCTGCCCCGTCCACCGACCCGAGAGCGGCGCGATGAGGAAGGCGTCGGCCCAGCGGCGCAGCTCAATGTGCACCACCGGGTCGCCCACCGCCCGCCACTGCCGCCACTCATCCTCATCGCCTGCGCCGGCGGAGACACAGAGGTGACAGGCGGCGAGAAAGGGCATCACCACAGTTGTGGGCCAGTGCCAGCCAGCCATGTGTACGCACCCATGCACGCTGCCCGCCAGCCATGCACACGCGGCGATGCACGGCACCCAGCCTGCCACCAGCCACCAGGCCTGCCACGCACCCAACAGCGGTCGGCAGGCCGCCGGCAAGTCCTGCTCCTGCACAAAGTAGGTGGCCGCCTTGGTGGCAATCACCTTCACGTCCGCAAACTGCAGGCAGCAAACAGGGAGCACCCGGCAGCGTATTGAGCATGGGGAACAGCAGGACAGGGCTGTGGTGGCGGGCTAGCTGCCGCAACCAGCGGGGAGCCGCGGGGCGCACCTGAAGCATATGCTCGGCAAGCTGTGCCAGCTTGATCGTCGCCACGCTGCCGGTGGCGGCCAGCAACACGTGGGGACGGCGGTGCTGCTGCGCCTGCTGCTGAGCGGCAGCTGGCTCGCCTGCACCCTGCCCTCGCTGCTGCTGCTGCTGCGGATCGGGCCGAGCGCTCGTATCGGCACCACACCCATCTGCCTCCATGCCTGGCTGCTGCCACCGGGAGGCGGTGCTGGCGCGGTTGCGGCAGGTCTACCTGGCTGTCTGACCCGCGGCTGTCCACGGCGGCGGGTGCTACTGCGGCTGCTCCTTTGGGATGCCCCGCTGCTCGGGGATCCAGTAGCCCGGCAGGCGAGTGGGCTTGGTGGGCGGTGGCGGCGCCTCTCCCTTGGCCTCCGCCTCGGCCTTGCGCCTGGAGTCAAACCGCGCGCGCAGCCGCTCCTGCTCTAGCCGCAGCCGCTCCTTGTTCTGGGCCCTGCGGCAGGCCCCAAACACCATGAAGCAAAGGATCAGAACTGGTGGCAGCGGCTTGGCATGGTAAGCAACAGCGAGGCAACAGCAAGGTGACCTCCAAGCCAACCCTGCGAGCGGTGTGCTGCCCGTGCAGCCACGGAAGGTAGCGCAGCGGCAGCAGAGAAAGCTGTGGCGGCAAAGCGACCACCGCATCCTTCCTTGCTGCCCCGCCCCAGCACCCCGGTGCCGGCAGCGCACCGCTTGGCCACCTTCTCTCCCTTGAAGCAGAGGTTGAGCGCCTTGGCGGTGTCGGTGCACACGCCCCAGTACTTGGCGATGGGGTGGTCGGCGTGGCACTGCTTCAGGGCCAGGATGTACTGCAGCAGCAGGGCAGCCGCACGGCAGCAAGGGATGAAGCAGGGAGCTGGTGCCAGCGGCAGCAGCGGCGGCAGGTCGGGGCGGCGGCAGGACACCAGTGGGCCATCCTGCCGGACGTTCAGAAGCGGGCTTGCTTCATGCAGCACAACCCCGTGCAGTCTGTGAGCGTGGTGAGGCCCTTGCGGCGTCTGGAGACTGGGCCAACGGGGAGACCCACCTCTTTGCAGGCTGGATGCTGGTGCACTTCCAAGGGTGGGTGCATGAGCGTGCTCTGTGCGCAGCCTGTGCGCTGTGTACTGCGAGCCAGGCGCCTGCGGCTATGGGTTTGCGGATGCGAGTCTGGGGTAGTCAGCAGGAGCGACCGGAGGCAGAGCAGGGATGGGGACAGAGTCGACGAAAGGACGAGCCTGCGCGTGATGAGTGGGGCCTTTCTGCTCACGCCTCACGTCAGCCCAGGGCGCCGCCACGCTGGCGCCACCGCTCGTTGTGGTTTCGCTGTGCTCAATGCGCAGTGCTCCCAGTTGGCGCCTGCCGTGCTCTATCTATGCCCTCAGAACTCCAACAACTGCATGTATGTTTTAGTAGACAGGCATCAGGGGCGTGGTCGTCGTCTGCTGAGTGGCTTGGCACCGACGCACGCCGCCGCGTGCACATGTGCGCAAGTCCACGGTGGGAAGTTCAGCTCGGCGTCGCTGTGCCCAACCTATCGCATGTGATTTCACCCTGAACAACTTGGCTGGTTTCCAGCATCAGTAACATCCGGAATGTGCTCGCTGCGTCGCTGCCACCGCACCCGCCCGCCACCTGGCAGCTTCCATCCCTGTTCTAGCCTCTTCGCCGCCCAATTTGGCGGATTCCTCCACTCAAGCGCCGCAAGTCCCGCTAGTCTTGCGCTTCCAGGCCTGATCGCAAGGCGCCAGAAGAAGGACATTCCACACACACTGCGCTTCGGCCAGCATGCAGCATCGTGCAGCAGCGCTGCTCCTATGCCTGGTGGCGGCAGGGACAGCCCCGGCCCGGGCCGCGCGCCCAGCCGCCTCTGCCGCGCTGACCGCCGGCGCCGCCGCCGGCCTGCCCGTGGGCGCCCCCGCCCCCTGGTTCTGCCACAACCTAGACTGCCCCAAGTTCACAGTGGTGAGCAGGGCAGGCTGCAAGCTGCGGTCAGCAGCGCACGCAGTGCAGGCTGGCAAGGGGAGTTCCCTCGATCCCATTCCTTGTCGCACCCGTACCTCGCATCCGCCGCCGCCGCCAACAAGCCCTCCTCCTCCCTGCCAGGTCAACACCACCGACGACTACGAGGTCCGCTACTACGAGGCCGGAGCCTGGGTCAGCACCGACGTGGAGGCCTATGCGTATGCGCTGGGCGTCAGCAAGGGGTTCCAGGTGGGGCATGCATGCGCTTGGTGGGCTGGTTGGGGTGGGTGAGTCCCAACACATTTTAGAGCCAGCAGCGGGAAAGATAGCGGCTGGGCGCCAGGCCCGTGGCAAGGAAGAGGACTGTGAGCCCGCACTTGCACACAAGTTCGCATGCTGCATGGACGGGATGCTGCCGCCGCAGGCGTGCCCTGCCGCCGCCGCCCTGCTCACACCGCTGCTTCACGTCCCGCCACCCCACCCCACCCCACCCCATTGCAGCGCCTGTACCAGTACATTGATGGCGCCAACCACGCCGCCGTCAAGATCCCCATGACCGCCCCCGTCAGGACCCTCATCAGGTGGGGGCGGTGGCGGCGGCCCTGGCTGTTGTGCTCAAGGGGCGGGCGGCGGCGAGCTGCGCGTGGCTGGCTGGGGGCGGGCATCCGTTCACGGCAGGATTGTGCCGGCAGATGGGCTGCATGGGGCTGCATGGGGCTGCAGATGGGCCGCTTCTGGAAGGGGCGCCGCTGGGCTGCATGCTGTGCACGGCAGGGCGGGGAGCCCTGCCGCCGCCCAGCTGTAGCTGCCTGCGTCTGAGCCCCTCCCCCGGATGCCTGCCTGCAGCGCGGCGGCAGGTCCATTCTGCAAGAGCAACTTCACCATCTCCTTCTTCGTGCCCTTTGCCTTCCAGGTAACGATAGAAAACGAAAACTGAAAAAGAAACCGTTGTTTCGGTTTCGATTTTACTGTTTGCGTTGCTCCCCTGCAGAAGGACGGCGCCCCCAAGCCCAACAACCCAGACGTCTACCTGGACCACTCCCCTGCCTTCACCGCCTTTGTGGCGCAGGTGCGCGGTGCCTGCCCCGCCTGAGCTGCCTCGCCCGGCCCGCTTGCCGCTGCATGTGTCTGCCTCCCTGACACACACACAATCCACACACGCATACACCCTCCTGCAGTCTGGCGGCTTTGTGATGGACGACTTCTCGGTCACCCGCATGGCCAAGAGGCTGACAGATGTGGGTGGCGGCGCTGCCATGCCGCTGCTGCCGCTGCTGGCGCCGCTCCTGATCCCGTTGCCGCTGCTCAAGCCAGCGCCTGCGACGCGTTCTTGCGCGCTGACGTTCCTTGCACCCTGACGGAGTGCACCCACCCTCTGTGTGCAGGCGCTGGACCGCGACGAGCAGCCGTACAACGCCGACACTTTCTTCTTCGCAGGTGGAAAGGCGGGGGGACGCTCCGGTGCCGCTCTGCCAGCGTGCCGCTGCCTGCGTGGCGCGCCGCACGCTGCTCTGCCGCCTGATGCCCCTGGCTGCCGGCCCCCGTGCTGCTGCAGGCTACGACCCGCCCTTCCGCCTCATGGGGCGGCACAACGAGGTGTGGGTGGTGGCGGAGGAGGAGACCGGCGCGCAGACAAGCTAGGGAGGCGGGCCACAAGACGTTCCGGGAACGGGCCCAGAGGCGGCGGCTTTGCGCCTGCCGGCAGCCACCTCTGATCGCCAGATCTGACGGCCCTTTTTGGCCTGACAGCTACGCACCCTTTTGGTATGTATGTTTCACATTCAGCAGGCAATCAATCGCATGCCATTCTTCATGCAAGGGGGGTCAAGATGTAAAGGTGATTAGGAGGATTTTGGACGACTCGGCGGGCCCCTGCCGAATGTAGCAGGTGCACACACCAGAGCCGACTTCAGCAGGGCAAGCACGTGTGGCGGGAGGTCACGCAAGGCAGGGGTCACGCCAACGCAGAGGGTTGGTTTCCGCGGCATGCACATCTGAAATTGTGTATGTGTTGTATTGTATTGTACTGCCCCAGCATACCCCTACATGCCCCCGGCCAGGCGCCTGCCCCCGCTGCCGCGCCCGGCGGCCGCCGTCACGCTGGGCTCGCTGGCAGGCTGGGCAGCCCCCACGGTGGGGGCCTCTCCGGCGGGCTGTGTTGCGGCCTCCACGGCGGCCAGCTGGGCGGCGGCGGGGCAGCGGCCGCAGGACAGGTTGCAGTAGCTGCCCACCACGAGGTAGGTTGAGTTGCAGGCGCCAAACATGCGCTGCTCCTGCGCACACAGCCGGCCAGGTGGGCGGGGCGGTGGGGGGCGCGGGCGGGAAGAAGCGTTGGCAGGGCGCGAGCGCAGTATGACTATGCAGCCCAGCAGCAGCGTCGGGAGCGGGGCGGCCTGGCTCCTTTTTGGAGGCAGGCGCGAGGCCGGGGTGGTGCCTGTGAGCCGGCGCACGCGCGTCCCCGGCGGCACCTCACCATGCACGTCACTCCGTCGGGGGTGGGCACATCGCCGCACAGCGCCTGCACCGCGGCGCCGCCCTGCTGCTGGCAGGCGCCGCAGGTGGCGCGGCAGTAGCCGCCGCGCTGCACGTACGGGCTGCCGCACCGCGCGCCGGCCAGCGTCTGCGGCGCAGGCGCGGGGTGCAGCGGCGGCGCAGCAGCGGCGGCAGGGTCAGAGGGGGCGGGAGGAACCAGCTACGCAGCGCTGCGAGCAGAAGCCTGGGCGGGGGACGGCGCTGAGGTGTGCGTCTGAGGCTCCCCGGGTGCCCCATCCTGCCCCTCCCCCCCTACCTGGCTGCACGGCGTGCCGTCGGGTGTGGCGATGTCGTCGCACAGCGCGTCGGCGGCGTCGGGGGCGCAGCTCCCGCACGTCACCGCGCAGAAGCCTGTGGCATTGAGCGCGTCGCACATGCCCCAGGCCTGCTGCTCCTGGCAGGAGAAGAGGCCCGGCGGCGCCACATCCACTGCAGGCGGGCGGGCGGGCAGGCAGGGGAGGGGAGAGGCGTGGCAGAGGCCGGAGGAACACCCCGGCCCCGAGCTGGAGGGCCGGCATGCGGGCCGAGCGGCTGGCGCCGGGAGGGCTGCCCTGTGCGTCGCCCGCTCACCGCAGGCGGGGACGGCAGTTGCATTCTCAGTGCCGCCCACAGCGCCGATGCCCTCCACTGCGCGGCAGCGGCGGCGGGCAAGAGAGCAAGGGGGAGCTCAGCGGGCAGCTTGGCGGGGCACTGCCGGCAACACCACCGCGTGCAGCGCTCTCTCACCCGCTGCCACGGAGGCGCCGCCGGCCTGGCAGGCGCCGCAGGTGGCGGCGCAGTAGTTGCCGGCGCTCATCCAAGACTCAGAGCACTGCACACACCACACACACGCACACACACACACATGGGCGCATGGGCGCAAGCCGCCCGTCGGCGGCTCCCAGCAGCTCGGAAGGCGGCTGGCCAGAGGGGCGCTCCCTTGCCGAGTGGCCAGGCAGGCAGCTCCCCAGCCGGCTGTTCCAGCCAGCCGGGCCGGCTTGCCTTGCCCCACGCCTTCTGCTGCGCGCAGGTGAACGCGCCCGCCGGCTGGTTGTCGCGGCACTGGCCGGCGGGCGCGCACTGGCCGCAGGTGGCCCTGCAAAAGCCTCCAACCTGCACCCAGGCCTCGGAGCACTGCGCCAGGGGCGGCACAGGGCGGCAGGCAGCAGCAAGCATGAAGGGCCTGGCGGCTGGGGCGGGCGCTGCCCTGGGGCGGGCGCTGCCCTGTACTTGCAGTAGCGGGGGGCGCGCTCAAAGCACGCCTCCCCCAGCGAGCCTCCAAAGCCGCTCCCTGCCAGCCCCCCAGCCACCCCACCTTGCCCCACGCCTTCTGCTGCAGGCAGGAGAAGCCGCCAGGCGGCGCCACGTCGGTGCAGCCGGCAGACGCCACGCCCGGCTGCGGCGCCGGCTGGCTGCAGCGCCCGCAGGTGGCGGCGCACCACCCCGCCTGCGCCATCCACCCCGCGCCGCACTGCCCCCACAGCTTCTTCTGGGAGCAGGTGCTGCCGTCTGTGGGCTGCGCATCCATGCAGGTGCCGGTGGGGGTGGGGGTGGGGGCCGGGGGCGGGGGTGGGGGTGGGGTGCCGGCAGCCACCACATCATCATCCTGCTGGGGGCTGCAGCGGCCGCACGTGGCGGCACACCACCCTGCCTGCGCCATCCAGCCCACGCCGCACTGGCCCCACGCCTTCTTCTGTGCGCACGTGCTGCCGTCTGCACGGCAGGGGGGGCCGGCGGGCACGTAGAGCTTGCCTGCATCCTCCCAGCCTTCCAGTCACCCTGCCTTTCTACCAGCTCTGGAGCGGCTCCCGCAGGCAAGCGGGCCCTCCCACCCGTGGGCTGCACGTCGGCGCAGGAGGCGGAGCCGCCGGCGGGGGCCGGGGCGCTGCTGGGGGCGGCCGGCGTGGCGCGCATGGCGGTGCTGCCGGGCAGGGCATCGGGGATGTCGTCCCGCTGCGAAGGAGAGCCCAGGCAGGAGGGCGCAGGCAGCAGGGTGTGGGTGTGAGGTGGGATTATTGCTGGCTCACAGGCTCCCCATATCTGTCAACGCTCTCTGTCTGTCTCTCTCTGCCTGCCCACTCCAAACCAAAGCGTTTGCTATGTGAGTGACACCGCCCCAGGACCCTGCGACCCGCCCCCACCTGTTCCGGCATGGGGCAGAAGGCGCCGGAGCAGGAGAGGGTGGTGGCGCGGATGGAGTAGAGCAGGGAGAAGAAGCGGGAGCCGCGCACGCACACGCCGCCACGGCAGAAGTCGATGTTCTGTGGGCAGCAGGGAGGGGCAGGCGGTGCGGCAGTGCAGCGGCGGCGGTACCTAGTGCAGGCATAGCGCGGCAGTGCAGGTGGGGAGGTGTATGATGAGTGTTTGGGGCAGGGGGCGGCCAGGCAGGGCACACCTTGGTCTCGGAGTTGCCGGGGTCAACCTGCGCCGCAGGGCAGCACGGCGGGGAGGAAGCGCTTCACGTGTGCGGCCGGCAGGCAGGGTGACCTCCCCGCCTCCGCGGGTGCCATGCGGCTGCCACCGGTGACGCCATGGCTGCGCGGGTGTGGGGCGACTGCTGGGGACTTCCCGGCAGCCCCCAGCGCCACCACCGTCACCCCCACCCCCACCCACCAGCTTGAGGAAGAGGTGGTGGCCATCAAAGAAGTAGGACAGTCCGTCGCCGTTGACCACCTGGCTGAGGGAGGAGGCCTGGGCCAGCCCCCGGCTCAGGCCCTTGAACCATTTGAAGGTGCGGGACACCTGGAACTGCGCGGCGCAAGCGGGGCGGGGCGGGGCGCAGCGGTGCAAGCCGGGCACAGCAAGCGCAGCAAGGTGGGCCTCGTGCCGCGCTGGGCCCGGGGTGGGAAGCCGAGGAGGCACATCGGCCACGCGCCCTCCTGCCCGCGTGGCAGCAGGGATTCCCAGCCGCCCGGGCCCCACAGGCCCGCTTGGCGAGGTCGGCTTGACCGAACGCCCCGCCCCCGCACACCTTGGTGCCCTGCGGGTAGCGTGTGGCGAAGATGATTTGTGAGCCCACCGGCACCTGGCTGAGCCACAGCTCCTGGTACTTGGGGGCGCCGCCGGCAAAGTGGAAGTACCAGCCGGTGTTGCCTGCGGGTGGGGCAGGCACGTGGGCAGGCAGGCGGGAGTGCAGGGAGAGGGGCAAGCAGTGGAATGGTGTGAGGCTGATGGAGGCAGCCGAGTGGAAAGGTGCGAGGGCGGCCCCCTGCCCCCCCTCTCTCTCTCTCTCTCTCTCTCTCTCTCTCTCTCTCTCTCCCTCCCTCGCTTCATCCCCGCCCACCTGTCACCCCCGTGACGCCCTCGTTCTTGGTGATGTCCATCCTGCGCGCCTGCGACCCGCGGTAGCCAAACAGGGCCACGTAGCCAATCTCGTTGGCGGGGGTGGGTGGCACCGCGGAGCCTGAGGGGCGCGGCGCGGGGGCGGGGGCAGCGCAGGGAGCAGCGCCCATGGCGGGGCGGCATCATGCGGTGACACGGGATCGCCGTGTGCGGTGCGGGAGACAACGAGGATGAAAGGAGGCACACCGGTGTGGCGCAGGCTGCTCACCCATGTCTTTCTGCTGCCCCCCGCCCCGCCTCCTCCGGTGCCTCTTCCCCTCCCCTGCCCCGCCCTGCCCCGCCCGCCTTCCCCTCACCCATGTCCCACGGCTTGGTGACCCCGGGGATG